TGGTCCAATTATACTATTGCATTGGAGCTCCAGGAAAAATCAGTTTCAGAAGTAGATGAGAGCAGATTCTATAAATTCTAAAAATCTAGCGAAAATCATAAAGTACAATTGAGCGATTCTTGCTCCGTTACATAAAGTAATAAGCACAAAATCTTATTCTTCTGTACTGTACTAATCAAGCACATTTGTTGTAATTAGATGAAACTGTAATTTTTCAAGATACTAATTTGGTTTGTCTAGGAAAAACTGCATCTGTTCATTCATAATGTTCATAACTGCTACTACTAAACGGCTACATTATAATAACTAAAATAGACAATTACTTTTGATAATATCTTAACCGATCAGAAGCCAATTTCAGCGAATATTCAACCTTAACTTGAAACTCATAAAAATCTGGAAAGCCACTTCACTCAAAGTAATCCAAGGAATTTGCTTTGACAAAGAACTATTGTGCGTTACTCCAAAAATGGTTACTTTCGAATCAAATCGATCGGTGTTTGCTCGATAAACTGTATGAAAAAAGGTCACTTAGGCGATTATGCCTGAGGTGTTCTAGATTAATTTCACACTCCAAATTTGCTACGGGGACACTCGGTCATTCATGAAGTCAATCAGCAAATATCATTCTTGAAGTATCAGGTCGATCCGAAAGTTCGCGCTATTTTTCAGACCCATGCCCAAACCACTTAGAATGAAGATAGACAAACGCTGTAGGCACTATCCGATGCACAATTCCTTCCTCTTTTTAATGGTTATTTTTGTGCAGCTTCCCATAATGTCCTCTGAGTAATTGACAGAAACCTCCAACCCATGATTTTCACCCATCTTCAGTGTGACTACTTTTTAAAATTCCCATTTTCTATATTTGGACTAGCTTTGATAACAGTTGGATAGAACAAACAAAATACAATACAACGAACTATTTTGGCTTCATAAACTAACTCAGTATTTTTAAGATAATTTTTCCAAAAGCCCTTAGTTTTGCGAAGTCGCGAAATACACAATCGCTTCAAACACTGACAAACATTCAGAATCAAAAGCTTCCAAGAACGGATTATGACCAAGGTTGAGCAAAAGGTCAGGCACAAGTCCTTCAAAAACGACCCCCCCCCCCCTGTGAAAGCCCCTAAACGACCCTCCGCTTCACCTCCAAGTCCTTAGGGTGTTTTATTTTGAAAAAGACCAGCCTTCACTGCAAGTTTCTATTTTTTGGAAGTCTGTAGGCCCGCCTTTCTGCGATTGCCCAACCACACGCAACTTGACGGCAAGTTTTAGATCTGGATAGTCCTTTTTTCAGAGCTATAATTTTCACAGGGGTGGAGTGTTTGGCTCCAAAATTTCAATATAGCAAGAGGAGGCTTTGCGCTCAATACACATATCAAAAAAGGGGGATTTCTGAATTTTGAAGGCAAGTTAAGAGGGTCAGGCGCAGGCCCTCAAAGGCTCAGGCGGCCTGACCTTTTGAGGGGTTGCGCCTGGCCCCATTAACTTTATTTCCGAAACTGCTTTTCTACCCAAGTTTTAAGTGATTCGCTAGCTCAACCCTCGAAGATTCCACAGTGAGTGTTTGAGCATTGGCAGCACTTTTTACTTCACTGTTTGAAAGCGATATGAAGCCCGATTTGTAGCATAGACTTGTAGAGAACATTACTTTGTTATGAGTATACAAAGCTGACTTTTCTCACTTCTGCAACCAAGTTGATCACGCTTGAAAATCACGCTTTTTAGACGTTGAGAAACACTAGAAACTGCAGTAGGTAATGGTTTGTAGAGCGCATAGAGGTAATTTGACATGCTGATTATGAAAATGATGCCCATTTCACACAGCAAGCTTCCTTGTTTACCTCATATGTCAAGGTAAAGAGAAGAAGATATAGATTTTGGCTGAAACTTCCATTGTGGAAACGATCAGTATACTGTTTATGACTGCCATTCCTTCATGTGATCGCGATATCCACCGGAGCGCATTTCTTCTTCACCTTCACAGTATCTCCCCAACTTAATGAATTCGATTCTTAATTACGACCCCCCCCCCCTCCCTCAGTCTTACCCCCAGTACGATCCCCCAGGTCGGGCGCGCCTGACCCCACGCTCAACCCTGATTATGACTTAGCACTAATCTTAGAAAGCAACTAAGCGTTTAGCGGCTCGAAATAGTGAATCCCGATTTTCTGAGTACAGCCTGGGACGCGACTGAAAACAGAAATTATAATGATTTTATTTTCAAATATTGTACAAATCAGAAAGAAAAGAAGTCTATCAGAAAGAGGAGAAAAGCTGCATCGAATGACACATTGGTTGCGTTTATTGTTCTGTGAGGATTGAGATGCCCAAAGATAGAATTTGATAGCATCAGAAAAATATTTTTAAAAATTTTGAGAAGCCAGCTAGAGATGCCAGAAAAATGTATTATATTGCACTTTTTTATACTATACGACTCTTACTGAAGCTAGTCCGAAAGTTGAAAATGGAAGTTTTAAAAAATAGCCAAACTGAAGATGGATGAAAATCATGGGTTGGGGATCACTGCCAATGACTGAGCGGATATTGAGGAAATCTGAACAAGTACATAACCATTAGAAAGAGGAAGAAATTTTGTATCGGATGATGCTTACAGCGCTTGTCTGTCTTCATTAGTGGTTGAGCATGGGTCTGAAAAACAGCTTTGGACCTACCTAGTAAATCGTTTGAAGGCACCGTCCACCCAGATTCTCGACTTCCAGGTTTTTGTCGTTTCAGGGCCTTCTCATGTCCCTGATTCCAAATATGAAGTCGAAAATCTTCGAAATCCCGAAAATTCCCATTCCGGAGAGCCCACAGGCCGGCTTTCCAGAACGGTGATTGGATGAGCGCGCACAAATGGGCGGGCATGGATGGGGAAGGGCGGGCATGGATGTGGGTCCTCGCGCATCTTCGCTATTCCGAAGCGATTTTCTCGCTTCCGAAGCGGCTATTCGCGCAGCAACTTGGGCATTGGCTTGATAGGAGGCCCTCCTGTTACATGCTGCCAAAAGCTCAACACCCTCAACTTAGGGTGGACGGTGCCTTTAAGTACCACGATCACCATATTAGCATCTCAAAATTTGATAAATTATCAAATAGAATACCAAATGATTTTGCAGATAATCAAGCTTCTCCTGGCATGAAAAGAACTTATAGCTTACTATTAGAAGCTTCTTTTAGCTGACTAGTGAACATGGCCATGAACAGTGCCAATACTGTAGCGCAGGAATCACCATCCAGCGATAGGTGGGGCTAACGGTGCGCATCTTATTGACACATGCCTGCCCAAGCACGCGCCATCGTTCATAAAGTCCGCCACCCGAGAATTTGCGGTATAGTTTGCGAGTGAAAAGTAGTTACGAGTGTAATGCCGGCAATTCGCGCAGGGGTGGAGAAACGACTATCCCAATTAGGCGCCGCCTCGGCGGACATGTTATCTTTCGCACAGCTACAGTCGGCTCCGCAGAATCGACCGGGCTGAAAGCCCGCGTGCGTGTTTCCTACGGACTAACATTGGCATTCGAGCGCACGAGTCATCATAGCGCCCGTCGGCAGCCGGTTGCAGGCACGCTCGCGTGCGTTCAGCCTACAATGACCAGGCGATTTCGTACAGTCGACTTTATTGCAAACCCTGTTAGGGCCAGCAGTCCATGGTTTGGTGCCTAAAACTCGTTCGTCTAGTAATTTGCGAGCGTAAGTTGAAAATCTGTACAGCAGTCAGCCACTCTCAAAGTCTTTTGCACACAGATTATTAAACAGATCAGATCCACGACAAATGATGTGAAATTCTACACTCACTACTTATCCTTAGTACAACTCATTCTCAACTCTTATGTTACCTTTACAAGCAGCTCGAGAACTAAACATTGCATAGGCCGGGAATCGAACCGGGCCGCCCACGTGGCAGGTGAGCATTCTAACACTGAACCACCGATGCCCGACGTCTTTGACCTCTCTTTATGTTGTCGTAGTGGATACTGCTCCTTCTCGTAGTATCTTTATTCTCAACTCACATATTTCTTCAGACTCTAATACCCTCAATAATTTGTTCGAATTCAGTGGGCCGATCCCATCACTCCACATCATCCACCGCTCAAAGACTTCTAGCAGAACAGGAGTTATTCTCGAACAAAACTCTGCTTCGATTATTTGTAGAACTGTACTACTACGACTTCGTACTGTTCGGTTTTCCCATCCCAAAGTGACTACTTTTCTGGAGTGTAGTAGTTCAAAAAAATATGCACTGTACATACAAGAACAAGATCTTTTGCTATCCTCTCCTCACTTCAAATTCGTTGCCTTCTAACACTGACGTCATTGAGTCCATGTCCCACCTAAGACCTCAGGCAGAGTTCACGCGATTTGGTCGTCGCGATTGATCGCGACAAGACAACTGTAACAATATCATTGCATGCCGATCTTCTTGCATTTCGGTTGTGTTAGTTTTCCAACACGACCAATCGTGACTAACTATCACAACCGAAATAGAAAAGATCGGCTTGCAATGAGCTCATAACACTTGTCTTGTAGCAATTTGATCGCGACGATCAAATCGCGTGAACTCCGTCCGAGGCCTAAGGCCTAAGGCATACCTCATGCGATTTTAGTCGCCGCGCGATCTGTCACTGCAACGACTCTCCATAGCTGGTCGTAAACGCACTTTGCTGGCCAGACTTGCTGTGTTTGTTACAATTTACGGAATCTACGCACCCATGCATCTGAGAGCCTCACATGCTTAATCTCTAGACATCTGGTAAATCGCCAAGTCGCGAGGATGTGGCGATTTGGCGAAATCGCGAGAGGTATGCCTTAGGCTTAAGAAGTGCAAGTACATCATTTAGTGTGCAGTGAACAGTGTAAGTCAGATCATACTTTGTGCTTCAAGCAGCAAGTAGAATAACCGTAAGTGCTGGGCAAAAACTCGATGTTTACGAGATCTCCATACTGCAGTATTTCGAAAGTCTATGTTTAGTGTAAATTGTTCACCCGCGTATTTAATCCGATTTTTATTGCTCATATTTTCTTCTAATTGACAAAGCATAAAGATGTTACAAATTCATGATTCTAATTAATATTCCTAGCTTCCATAGTATTTCGACCAAATATATAGCAACTCGATGGTACAACAAAGCACTCCGTGTTCATGTTCACATGCTCCATAATGACGATGCTAGCCCATTGATTCTCCTCTGACGCACATCTCTGATCTCACTGAAATGAGAAACTTGCTACTGGATGACAACTACTTCCTTTCATGCAAAAAAGAGATATCTTATATCCACTCTTTAATTTCGTTAATTCTTGTTACAAGTCACTCTACTACTGTCTACTGTCAATGTACTTGGTAACAATGAGCGCTTCTTGGCTAGTGGTATGAAAGCTTGATCGACCCTCCTACGACTCATCTGTTCATGAAGTTGGCCATGGCAACTCACATTCTGGTTCAACTTTAACAGATGGTAGAAGCTGTAGAGAGGTAGGTTGTGGTGAACAGTTACCAGAAATACTGCTGCGGCTTGACTCACTCGGCTTGGCGAGATTTTCGCGAAGTCTAGCAACCTGAAAACGTAGAGCCCAATAAGGACTACTGATGCTAGACAGCCCATATTGTGAATCTCAACAATACTTACTTCCCTTTCCAATTCAGCCATCTCATTTCTAAGCCGATCACAATCTGCTCTAAGATCTGCACGTTGCTGTTGCTTCTCCTCAATCACTTCAATAGCTCGTCGTAAAATCACAGCACGAGAAGCCTAAATTTGGATTTTGATTGTCTCTAAGTTCAATGACAGACCACAGCGTACCCTTTCATTTTGCATATCTGGGACGACATCCTTAAGACTTGTGTACATGTCTTTGATATTATCTCTTCGCCTTCGCTCCAAGGCATTATGCTGAGCGCGAGCGTGCCGCTTTGGATCTTCCATACCATTGTCCATCACTCCGATCATGCTACCAGCTTGAGAAGAATGGGGTGACTCCAGCTGCTCATCCTCAAAATATATGACTCAAAACAGCGCTAATCAATACTGAAAAGCAAAAGAACTTATACGACCAAGCTAAAAATAACCAAATTAACTAGTTTTTATTTACAACATATCACAGTCACATATGAGTTTTGATATATACTTCTGTCAAAAATGAGGTAAGTTTAGTATGTTGCTGATAATATAAGCTTCTTTATGCAAAAAGTTCCAAACAGTGAGGTTTCACTGTTTGGAATTTTTTGCCCTAAAAATCATGCCTCTAAAATGCTTCGGATTAAACGTGCAACTGTTGAGAATCGCTTTGATTTGATCAGCTAAATACATAGAGGGTCAGGCTGACCAGTAAAATGTGATCATGTTGTAAGCAGAATTTATTCCGATTGATGAAGAAAGCGCACTTTCTCTCAATTTTACACTATTTTAAAAAATCGAATAAAATGAAATTGTTCTTCGAGTTCCAGAAATCTTAAAAGAAAGGATAAAATATCTTCAAAACTCACATCGTAATCACTATCGTCGTCCATCTCTACTCGGTCTGAAACGATAATTTTGACGAAGAAAACAACTTTTGCATGTAGACAGAAGGTAGATAGATTCAAACTGTTGCCAAATGATGATAACAAAGAATATTGCCTTCATTATAGCAAGTGATCAGATCACAGACAAAAACACGTACAATGCACATTTGAGACGAAAGCTCTTAATCTGGGAACAAAACACCCTCGTCAATATTCAGAAAAAACTAACAATATAAAGAAGGTAGGAGGCATGCACCGCACATGTTTCTAAAGACATATCAACCTGACTAGCAATGAAACCTGGAACAATGAGCAATACAGCTAGGATGATATCTTTGAATAAGACTAGTTGCCGAGATGGTTGAATGAAGGTGACAGCTCTTGAAAGTAAAAAAATAAAAGCCACTTTTGTGAAGCTGTGCGTCAGATCAAAATTATTGGACAAAACATCTAAAGAAGCAGAAAAGCTAAGTTTGTTGGCGTCTAGGAAGTGTCCGATAATATGAATGGTGCTATCTCGCGACGGACCAGCAAGGCCTAAAGCTGCTACGATAGCCCCCGTCGCTATACCGAGCAGTATTGTATATGGTCCTGATGATTTGTGCTAAAATAACAGTATTCAACAAAACAATAGTATTACTATCTCAAGAGAAAAATGCCCCCATCATAGCACACCGTAATGCTCTCACTAGCTCATACAAGAAGCATTAGTTATTCAGTAATTGAAACCATCAGACTGAAACCAAGATTGAAACCAATACTTTTCAAACGAGATCATAACTGAACTATTCGCTCTACTAATTTCTGGTACATGGAAAAAGCTCAAATCTAGTTCATGATCCTAATCAAGACATTATAGTGACTGATTTGAGTAATTCGTCAAGTCATTCTCGTATGTACAAGAGACAAAGTAACTCACTAAAGCAATGATCAAAGCCATAGCAGCGTTGGAAAGGTAGATGTTTAGAGGCAATAGAACAACAACGACTAGTTTTAGCACTGCACTGACCAAATTCAAACATAACGGAAAAGTGGAGTATCTAAAAATAAATTCTAGAGACTGAACAAGAAATCATCATAACACGCGTACACAACTCACATTTTATCCTTGATCAGTGCTATTATGGCAGTAATGAGATATGCGCAGGAAACTAAGTAGAAAATGGATGCAGCGAAAACTGCTTCTCGAATGCATGTATTGTAAGTGAAACAGATGAACCTAAAAACATTCAAAATATAGCTTCTTTGTAAATAACGAACATAAAATTACTGACAGTGAAAGTAATATGCCTCCATTGATATAAAGCCCGGACAGGCTCCATAGATTGTATCGTTTTAGATCCAAAAGCTTTTCCAGCAGCATCAAAGCGATAAGAGCAGAAAAAGTGAAATGTACCAGTACATTAGTGTTGGATATCAACAACTGCAAGAGGATTGCTAATGAAACCTCACCACAGTGAACCACATCTAAAAACACTTACCACATACCAAGCGAAGAAAATATCGGGTTTCACAGTTAATTCAAACTCACAACCAGATTTACCCTTTAGGATGATATGTCCTTTTGCTAAATATCAATGATGCGAATTTCAAACATGCAATGACAACTGTGTCTTACTTTGATTTGCTCCTTGAACTAGGTTTGCAACCATCACTTTACCGCTGCTTTTTGTTTCAGCGGAACGGGCTAACAAATCCGAGTAGACGAAAAACATGTCCATGTCACAGGTTGAAGCTAAGTACACTTTGTATACCATATGAAGCGAATGAAATTCCAACTCATATGCTTTGGAGGGCTTCTAAAAGAAATTGTTGAATGTGCGCCAGATCAAATCAAACAAACACTTTACCTCTACTGAACCTCTGTAAACTCTCGATACCCATGGGTAATCAAAAACTCCTATCTTGATTATGTCAGAAGAGGCTCCCACGTCTATCCTTGACCCATTCGCTTTGTGGAAAAAATCGCGCACAACAACACTTGGAGGTGGCGGCTGGGCCCGCAAAACTTCTTCCTCACCATATTTGTAGAGCAGCTTAGTTGTGTGTCTGAAATAACAATATCAGAGAAAAAATTGTGCGAGTACCAATACAAGTGTTAATTTTTTTACGAATGGAGGATACTTAGAGCATTAATATGGTATAAGATCTAACTAAAAATGTAGGCTTTAGTGACGACTCAAAGTTACCATATCACACAAGGCAAGCACATTGAGACTTAGTAAATTGAGACGTCGACTAGCTACCACGTATAACAGTATGATCATCAATGTCATCAATTCACGTGCTGTCGCCGCTGCACGCGTCGATTCGTCAACGCAGTGATGCACGTGCAGCGAGATTGACATAATAAACCGTGATTTTCACGTGGGAGTGTGTGAACAAGTTCTGGGAGTAGCACATGTACACAAAGTAAGAATGAGTGGAGAAAAGTAAACGAAGAAGTAAACCATCTAACAATCCTACCTTACTAACTGGTTGCACCACAATATGCAAAGATGATCAGCAGGAGTGTCCACACCTCGAATGGACCATGAAGGACGATGAACTGCACGATCGTTCTGCAAAGACTAACGCGCAATCAACAGCTTCATCTTACAAGGGAAAGATACAGTGCTGGCCAAAACTATAGATCCACTATAAAAAACTGCCGTAGTTCATCTGCTTTTTAACGAATTGATCTGAAATTTGGTACAGCTGTGTGTTCAACAGGCTTTCATCAGTGACCGGAGCGGATCCCGCTTTCGTTAGATTATTCAGGAGAAAAATCAAAAATTTCGAAAAAAGCAGGCTCGAAGGTTGGCCAAAACTATAGATCCACCTAAAATTTTTGTCCGCTAAAGTAATTCTCGACTTCCAAAGTCTTTTGTGCATATACATAGTCGAAAGTCAAAGCAGTGGCTTTAGTCCAGCTGCGACATACTTTAATAAGAAACGCTTATCTGCTCTTTTTACTTAAAAAATACTTTCACGCGTTTTTGTTCCCGAGAATGTGTTCTTATGGCTAATTTCGCAGTTTCTTGACTGGTTTGGAACCGATAGGTCTCCATCCATCTTATAGATGCTCAGCAGTGTGAGCAGTAAAAAAAAATTCGAGTTTTCGTATTCAAAGCGCACCCGACATAGACTTAGCCGCGGGCCTGCGCTCGAATTTTTGCCTTCAAAATTGGTGTACGCTATTTTTGCAAGCTCAAAATGATGTAGAAACATTATTTAGCATTATTTACACAAAAGAAGTTTGCAAGTCATAGTCACGATTGTTCGCGAAGTCGCATTTCAACACCTTTTCAAAGCATAAGTCTTGCGGTGTGTTCGGCAATTTCAAAGTACTTACTAAATGGTACCTTCCTTGAGTTTTGCCATTGTTTAGCTGCTAATTAGTGAATACACCCTCTACTGTATGTTGTCTTGTGACTCACATAAGCATTATGATCAGAACCAGAAATAACTTTGTGGCTTGTTGCAAATCACTTTTTTGCAGGATGAAGTCCTCAGTTAGCATGCATAATGGGATCTGCATAGACCTGCAACCACTGCATACGCACTCTAATACATACCAACAATGTCATTACTCCAGTTCACGCTCATGACAACAATCCAGAAAGAGTTTGAAGGGAAAAATTCGAGCGAAGGCCCGCGGCTAAGTCTATGTCGGGTGCGCTCTGAATACGAAAACTCGAATTTTTTTTTACTGCTCACACTGCTGAGCATCTATAAGATAGATGGAGACCTATCGCTTCCAAACCAGTCAAGAAACTGCGAAATTAGCCATAAAAACACATTCTTGGGAACAAAATACGCGTGAAAGTATTTTTTTAAGTAAAAAGAGCAGATAAGCGTTTCTTATTAAAGTATGTCGCAGCTGGACTAAAGCCACTGCTTTTACTTTCGACCACGTATATGCACAAAAGACTTTGGAAGTCGAGAATTACTTTAGCGGACAAAAATTTTAGGTGGATCTATAGTTTTGGCCAACCTTCGAGCCTGCTTTTTTCGAAATTTTTGATTTTTCTCCTGAATAATCTAACGAAAGCGGGATCCGCTCCGGCCACTGATGGAAGCCTGTTGAACACACAGCTGTACCAAATTTCAGATCAATTCGTTGAAAAGCAGATGAACTACGGCAGTTTTTTATAGTGGATCTATAGTTTTGGCCAGCACTGTATCAACTTAGATTCAAATTTTGAGACAAGACACATATATTCGAAATCAGCGTTGAACGCTAATTCCAAATATGCTGTTCCTAGCTGCTTAGCGTTACTCCGAAACGAGTTATGGGCGCTGTTGTGAGTAATTAACAAACTTCTGAATGTCGTAAGACGACGTGTAGGTAAGGATCGCTCGAAAAAAGTGCTAGGATGTTGAACTAACATTAGATTAATTCTTTCAAATTTGAAAGGGAGCATTATACAGTTGTGAAACCACCTAGACGTCGACACCGTAACATCAGTAGGTCGAGGAGCACGCAAACTTTGCACAGAAAAGAGACAATAACTCGCTTCAGAATAACGCTAAGCAGCTAGGAACAGCATATTTGAAATCAGCGTTTCAAGCTGATTCCAAATATGTGTGTCTTGTCTCAAAAGGCGAATCTAAGTTAGTATCCTTCCCTTGTTAGCTAGCAACGAAATGAAAGCTGAAAATGGAAGAAGGAGGAAAAAATTATAAAAGTAAGCGACAAACAAAACAGAGTGAAGTTTGCTCCTGTAGCTACAATCACTGCTAGAATACTAACAATAAGATAAAAAATCCAAGTAGGGCATAAATAATTGATTTAGAAACGGCTTTGTTATCAAACCAAAGAATCTGCGCAAAACCCGTTCCCTCCCAAAAGCTGAACCGCGAACGATCGTTACGAAAGTGAAGGTCCTGTGAAAGTACGCGACAGTCACTTCAGCTACGATCAGTTTATAGGGGATGAACTGGACCAATTATTTTCAAGCCATTTGCCACAAGCTGAGTTGAATTAGCATTGAGAAAAAGGCAGAGATAGATTAACTATCTGTAGTAGACGATTTCAAACTCTTCATATGGTCATAGAGCAATGAACGGCTAAAGGGTTGAGAGATTGATGTGCTGTCGATTTGAGCACTGTACCTTAGGGATCGTTCATACCGCGCACAAAGGCGGACGAAGGCGGACGAAGGCGGAAAAAGCCGGACAAAGGCGGACGAAGGCGCGTCTTGTCTCGTCTCGTTCCTCTCGACACACACACACACACACACACACACACACACACACACACACACACACACACACACACACACACACACACACACACACACACACACACACACACACACACACACACACACACACACACACACACACACACACACACACACACACACACACACACACACACACACACACACACACACACACACACACACACACACACACACACACACACACACACACACACACACACACACACACACACACACACACACACACACACACACACACACACACACACACACACACACACACACACACACACACACACACACACACACACACACACACACACACACACACACACACACACACACACACACACACACACACACACACACACACACACACACACACACACACACACACACACACACACACACACACACACACACACACACACACACACACACACACACACACACACACACACACACACACACACACACACACACACACACACACACACACACACACACACACACACACACACACACACACACACACACACACACACACACACACACACACACACACACACACACACACACACACACACACACACACACACACACACACACACACACACACACACACACACACACACACACACACACACACACACACACACACACACACACACACACACACACACACACACACACACACACACACACACACACACACACACACACACACACACACACACACACACACACACACACACACACACACACACACACACACACACACACACACACACACACACACACACACACACACACACACACACACACACACACACACACACACACACACACACACACACACACACACACACACACACACACACACACACACACACACACACACACACACACACACACACACACACACACACACACACACACACACACACACACACACACACACACACACACACACACACACACACACACACACACACACACACACACACACACACACATGCCTTCGTCCGCCTTTGTGCGGCTTCGTCCGCCGGGGAACACGCGGAAGGCGACAAATGCGCTGGAACGGGCGCGACTAGTGGCCACGCCCTGTCCGAGTTCTCCGCCAATCAGCCATTCAAATCTTCGTACTGGAGCGCGACTGCACGCTTTCTACATGTTTCGTTTCTTGTGCGATCACGTTTTTGTCTCTGTTCGTATCTATCATTTACTAGTTGTATATCTTTCACGTTCTATGTAAACATCTTTGCTCACAAGAGTAATGTTTGATGCAGGAGTAGAAGACGTACATAACATGAGCGACTTAAAAGGACTTGTCCACTGATTCATTAGAGGTATGATTTTTTTCTTGTGTCCTGTGCTTTTCTACTTTTGCATTTTACAATTTGCTTATTTAGTCAATATCACTTTATGAATGTTCTCGCCTTACTCATAGTTAGCATTTCTTGTCACCATCAAATTGTTTGTGCGACTTATTCATTTCATTTTAGTTCAGATATACGCAGAAAGTCCTTGCTTTCAACTTCGTGAGCCATAGCTATGGACTTATGAAAGGTAAGCGCTCTCACTCACTCCTTTTCTACTACATCGCAAACCGTTTTCTGTCATTGAAGGGTCGATGTCCATAAGTGCATTCGAACAGAGACGAGCTCAAGAGCCATTGATGTGAGCATTCTGTAATTGTGCTACTCTTACGCTCGAGTTATCAATGCTAGATGTTGCTTTTTCTCACTTTTGTGCATTTATATGGTTTTTTAATATCGTTATCTAAGGGTCGTAGATTCTTTTCTTTTCTTAAAGAGATGGTATGTTAACGTGACTTCACTCACTTGCAAGCAGTATTTCTAAATACATAATGGTCCCTTGTAGATACTATTGTCGATAATGACTATGTGGAACAAATAGAATTACAGAAAAACTTTGGAAACTCAGTACAGGAATTTTTTGTTTTTGTTGTAAAGTTGTACTCTACATCAAAATTCGGCTTTCCTTGTGATTCATTTTTTTTTCAGGGTGGACCTACAGGTAAAATGTACCATATCAATTATCATTGTATCATTTCCTTTTTGTCCTATACTCTGGTCCAATTTCTGTTGTGAATAAAGTGTTCTTTTTTGCACTGTCAAGCAAAACAGCAGAAAAACTATGAAAACTTGAAGCATTGACAAAGACCATAGGTCGCGAAGGTTTATCGAGTTTGCGGTTCGCCTAGATACAAACTAATGTTGACATTTCGCCAGAAAATGAGGTTTTTCTTACTTTGAGCCGTGAAAGGAACTGCTTTGCAACATTCATTGTGTTCAATTCAATTCTATCCGAATGATAGCCACATAACCGCATAGTACACTGACGCAACTCGGTTATTCTCACTTATTCTGGAAGTTAATCGAAATATGGTTTGTGAGTAGCATGTGACCGAAATCGAATTTCGCTGCGAAATCTCACACTGCAATCAGTTAGCTATCATTAAACAATCTACGGTTCTACACTGAAATACGTAACCTTTTTTTTTCGTACATTGAGTGATCACTCCTACCAATTTGCACACGAACTCTCATGGACAAAACAGAGTAGTCGAGGAGGACATCGCCACCATTCACGCGCCAGCCTATGCGCCACAAGAGCGTCAATCTGTCTAATTGACTCGAGGCCAGCACTAAACAGCAGGCAAGTTGGAGGCGTGGCCACCGTTCCCTCGCCTCTACTGGGTTTTGTCGCCTTCCGCACCACACCCTCGTCCGCCTTCGTCCGCCTTTGTCCGGCTTTGTCCGGCTTCGTCCGCCTTCGTCCGCCCTTGTGCGCGGTATGAACGAGCCCTTACATGGTATATCTAACACAATGTGTACGAACTGGGCACCCCACCTATAGGATACAAGTTTGTCAGGGAGCACCTGTGTCATTTTTCAATCTTAAAAGAAGTCCGTTTGCGCGTTGAAAGAATGTGACTGATATTCTCTCCACACTGCAAAATGCTTGGATTACACCACTAATAAGGGTGGGGGACATTAGGTCGCCGAAAAAGGGCGGTCCCCGCGGTCATTTGCGACAAACACGCACCCTTGTACATGCGCGGACATGCGTTCCTGCAGGGAATCCGCGCGAGCCTCTTCCAAATTCGGCGACCTAATGTCCTCTACCCCACTAATAAAGCTCGAACTGAAACAGCACGCCCAAAAACCTTGCTACACGAATTTCCAAATTTTTCTGAACTTTTTCCACCAAAAGGCCTATTCCACACTGGCGTGTGTGCTGAAAATTGATACCGTAATCTACTGTAACAAAAAACGATTGGTGATTCGCTTCATGCCGTATATCTAATTTGAACCTCGCTCTACAGAATGATGCTTGGAAGACGAGGTACTTCTATGTAGCTTGTTTGATAAATCAGCATAAAGAAAGCACATTGAAAAAATATTGACTAAAAAGTTTCCAAAGACCCTCAGATCTTAATGTAAGTTCCATCGAACAAAATTAGGAATAAGGCTTACCTCAGGGATGGGAGCCAAATGATCGGGTACTTGGAAGTCTTTCAAGCCACCACTGTACGAGACTACTCCCACGTGATTAAGTTCCTCGTTTCTTTTGCGCCAAGTTTCGTGCATGGAATTGTAAAAAGACACCATCTTTTCATCCATCATCAAAGCTAAAACTGTGATCATGCACTAACATAACGCGCAGAAGTAGTCAGAAACATACGAGGAGCCGTGATTGGAGCAGCAAGTGTCATTACCAAGCCCATGTTGGAGATATCATAACGAGGATGTGCTGGCAAGGCGTAAAGGACGGCTCCACCAAAAGAATGCCCAACCAGGACCAACTTAAACATTGATGAGCATCGCAACAAAACAGAGCAAAATGAACTGGATAGCTAATCAAGACGATGAAGATCACAAAGCTAAACGAGCATTTTGAAATTCACTCACGCACCTTTCGATAGTACTTCCTCTGAATCGTTGAGATGGCGCTGATGACAAAATTACGCTGGCGGTTTAAGATCGATCCACTAAGAAACGACAACTCCTAAAAAGTGCTATGCAATGTTATTGACATTAACAGATAGCGAGGCTTTAAAGAAATAATGTAATACTTGCCTCATTAAAGTCAACTGCATAAAAATGCATTCGAAACGGAGCTGACCTCATCTCAGTCTTGTTCATCATGACTGAAGCCAAGGAACGAACCTCGAAACAACAACATTACGAGCACTTCCATACCTCTATTAACCTTTACAAAGGGAGAGTAGTCAACAATATTGCACTGAGCCATGAAAAATTGCATTTAAAGGTTTTCAAGATCGACTGATTTATTTGAAAAGTACTTGACAGGCTCATTCATGCTATAATTTTTCGTGTTTACATAGAAGAAGGAAATCACTACACGGACAATTAAGCGCGACTGTGCATAACATTCATGCGTCATCGCTATTCCAGCAGATTTCGGCTGTCATCGATTCCATAGAGTTGCGATAGACTCAATTTTCTTTCAACCTATTCGCATCTCCTTTCACTGGAAACCTGTACGTGCTACATCCTGGCCACAAAATTCCGCAAAACATTGGCCTGAAGCTTGCCGCACACTTGTAAGTTAAAAGGTTTAAATACTTCCTACCGAAATCCTGTCAGATTGGTTTTAATCCACGCATTGAATAAGAAAGGTTTCTGGGATTTCTGGGAGGTAACTTAGCAGCTGATTCTAAACCTGCTTGTTCTTTTATAGAGTTTATCCATCACCAACACATAAAATCAGCTCCAAAATGGGCAAGGACTGGGGCTTGATTATTCAATCATGGTGCGTAGCACGCCATGCTCCAAAACCGAATTGAGAAAAGTACTTGAGAAGCTTGCTCACACTCACCTGTTTTCCACTGCCTCCACTTCCTGGCACAAACAATACTGGGATGTGATTTTGCGATATAGCCCTGTAATAAATACTGCCGAAACTGAGAGCACACTGAGTAATTTCCGATAAAAATTAGTTTCTGCCTCTTTGTGATGTGGAGGATTTTCAGAACTAAAACGATTATGATGAGAAGTGCACAGTGAGTTCATGAGGCTGCTTGCCAATAAACATGTTTACTTCCTTGACAGTTAAGCTTTGCACGCGGTAAGCTGCTCACTTTACGCCAAATGTACAAAATAGGAGAAAGTAGGCGCTTAGACGACAAACTTCTTTCGAGATGAAAAGCTTTCAATAGCGCAGCCGAATGCTCTTTCGGCACACGTCATGCTTGATGCACTTCGTCCATTCCGCTTTTTAAATCGCTGATCTGACCGATAGCGAAGTGGATGTGGATCAAGTATGGTAGTGCTTTGGTGGTGGGTCGCCCCATGGATGCTATGCAAGAAAGTAAAAAAAGAACATGCGATAAGACATAAGCCAATTCGTGATTAACTGCATAAAAAAGCCAGAAAGAGAAATATAACTTTAATTAGTGCACTTACAAAGTCCTCTCGTTTACAATTCCCTCCAAGTAGCGGAAAAGGCTGTAGCTCCGCACATCATTGCCATCCACTTTTATGGGCTAAAAGATAAGTATCTATTAGAATTAAATCTACAAAAGCACAACTCACTAAAAGACTTATGTATCGCCACATATAAGTCATTTGACATGCATTTTCCTTGTGCAGACCGACATGTACCAAAAACAAAATGGTAACTAGTCCTGCAGCTACTATGACTGAGTAAATATACATATTAACATGGATTGAATAAGCTCTAGCCTATCGGCAGACAAACTCCTAGCTCATTTCCTCGATACCTGAAACATTTTGATATAACTGATCTGATTCTCTTCAGCTTATACAAACTATGTGAGGCGTGAGCCTTATTGCGCGGTGCTTACAAAAACATTTTCCGCAGAGGTTTGAAATGAGTACAGTTAGGTGTAATCAAGGCAGATTTGACGGCCACCGAAATGTATTGCGACATGAAACGCTTCCGCGTAAAAAGTGGTCATAGGGCGCAAACATCGCAACTACGCGCTAAATGGCCATTTTTTGCGCACAAGTGTTGCGCATTGCTCGGACACTGTGCCTATCGTCAAATTCTATTCACTCCAGACATCACGACAGGTCGTGTGGGTAGGGGAAAGAACTTCGCCATTTTCACCCTCCTTCGCGGACTCTGGTCCTCGAACATGGAACAAACAGCACCAAGGGCCAGCTGTCTGGTAGCCCAAAATGGCGAAGTTCGTTTTCTTCCTTGAATCGTGCCTGTCGACATATAAACATCAAAGCGATGAGATATGAAGTCAAGTCCCGGAGGCAGACGATGCACAGTCCGCTGCATGCGATTAGTGCTTTCATACTCTGTGTCTCGACGGCAGTGTCGCCCGCTCGTGCGGCACAGGCCTCGCGCGTTGCTTGTTCGGTCCCCGCGCTGTGTTGGATGACGTACTCTCTGGGCATTTTCTCACGCCTGAGCAGCGATCGGAGGCTGACGGATGCGGAAAAATGCCAAGGGCTATACGTTGGGCAATTTTAACAGGGTTGCCGGAGTTGCCGGTCGTTGTGGGCCTTACAATGTTCCAATGGTGGACCCTTTAAATAGTCTATTAGTGAAATATGGAGCGAAAAAGCGCTTCAGGAAAGCCCAAAATCTGCTCCGGAAGTCTTCCGCACTCCACCCACTTCCAAACCCCGCCCACTTATTAAGCCTAATGTGGAGCGAACGCGGACATGAAGAGCTTCGAAAAAAAAGCTCATTTTGCCACCTTCAAGCGCTGAAAGGCTCAGATATGACTTCAGTATGGCGAGAAGGTTTCAAAGAGTTAAAAAAACGGAAACGAAATTTCGCCGGGGTACTGCCTTTATTGCGTGTGCCTTATGCGCTGTATAAGCCAGTCCTAATTATTGCCAGTAGCTCGACAAAGTTAGTCAGCCAAATTCTTTTTTTAGACAGTAAACCCTCCAAGTACATCTTACCCCCTAACCCCACCTTCAAAACATGCGCTGAATCCTGTATGCTTCAGTGCTCCCCAACTACGCCTACCTTCGGTAAGTAGGCGTTACAAGGGAAAGGATGAAGCGCCTTCAAAATTGGCAATGGATCGAGATCTACGGCCATAGTGCACCTTTACTTGGAGGACCTGACACCACCAGAAACTGACAAGGGCCCTTCACCTATGATTGAACAATAACTTGCGTCTTTTCCCTATGTCAGTCTTTCTGCTTCACAAAAAACAAATGTAGTTGTTTACAAAGCATTTATTTTATTTTAGAAAAACCTTGCGCCAACCTATCAAGAAACATGCTGGCGCAGATAATATCTCCATATATGCTGCTCGCGATATTGTGAAGTGTCTAGCACCTTCCGCTTACAAGACCAAGTTCTTGAGACTGCTTTGATGCTCGTTATGAGAAATCTAATTTGATAGGAAAAGATTAGTGGACACATAGAACCGATAGTATGTCTCTTCTGCCAGAGTTATGGTGTATAAGAGCCAGCTACGTCACAACAGATGATTTTCCTTATCTAAACGGCAAAGATGACTATGAAAACGAACGGCCATGGAAATCAAACCGGAGCACTTAAACTTCTTTTGACGCTAAAAACAACACGACAACCATACCGATTACGAGACTATCGCTCGCGCTTCAGCGTGTAGGCACGTAGTACTTTTTTCCCTTGGCGCTTGACGTCACTACGATTGCATGTGATTCCGTGAATCTGTAGGTGTGACTTCACTCGCAAGCAATTCATTTTTTAACAAGTAATATGACGTGATATACCATGTGTTTGCCGCTTGGGACTTCCTCTCACTCAGTTTCAGCCAATGGCGATTCTTTCTTCTAGTTTCATTCTTTTGTGGACTGGTTGCTTTACATCTTAACTTTCCGTTTCTTTGCTTTGTGATTCTTGATCGGATATGGTTTCGTCCTTGTTAGGAATATAATATGTTCAGACTGGTCGCAATGCGTTCATCTTTGCGGTTTCTCGGTGAGAATATCCGCAAAACAATCGTACAAACTAATAATGGCCAAGCGATAGGAAAGACTGTTTATTTGACGCATGTCAAGTGGGTTACGGGCAAACGTGAGTCTGCACATATTCTTTCACCTTTGCTGAATTCTTATTTGGGACCTTATATGGAAGAACTATTAGTGACAGCCGGTTTCGGAGATAGTTTTGCCCGCTGCAGAAAATATGTGCAGTCCTAGTATACAAATCCATCTGTCCGCTTGGAACATCTTTTGTTAGGAGTTGGACACTACGCTAATTTTCTATTTTGGTTGAGCTCAGGGTTTATTTGGAAAACGTAGTGCCATACAACTTTGTGGTGATCGTATGTAGTCAAAGCAGTCCTAAATTTGTTCCATTGCAACCCTACCCTATACAACTTTCGCCTAAAAGCGATGTGTATAAGTTGATTTCAGAAGCATGTCATGCGCGCACTTTGCGTCGTTTTGGATTTAAATTTTGCTTTCATTGAGGAAAACGTTAATGAGAGTCATATTACAGTTTGTCTTAAAGCCAACCAGGCCAAAATTGGCACGAGAGTCAAGGCTAAGAACAAGGCTCACTTTCGCGTTCGAGTGCAATCTCCTTTGCTCGCGTCGCGCGCGCGCTGCCTCTTCCCCTGGGTATCCGCGACCGAAGGTGGTGCTATGCCCTATAGTGTAATGTGCTAGATAGGTCGGAACCGGAGAAAAGCTCATAATACAAAAATTATTTTTGTATTATGAGCTCACTACGGTGCATGCAGGAAGTAAAGCAACCATAGAAATTCAATCAATCAAATCGAAACCATTTATTTCAGGACAGGTAATGCCAGACTTTACCTGTCCACTTCGGTGTGCGGTGTGTGGAGCACGCATCTATCAATCAGTTTTTGTATGGGAAATTTAGCGCTGAAAGAGAGGTCGAATTTTTTGAAAGCTACAAGAACTTATGACTCAAACCTGTAAATGATGAGAATTTTCGAAATTTTTGAAAATTCATATCAATTTTTTAAAATTCAAATCAACTTTGTGAAGAAATTTCTCAAGCTGCTGCCGCCCCCTTTCTCCTAGAATTTCGGGATTATTTGCCCATAGAATTTTGGGAAGCTTACAAAAATTCAGAATGCGTGATTCATGCCACCCATTTTATGAAATTTTGTTCCTTCCCCCGAATGTTATTCGTGGGATTGCCACTGCCGAGGGGGTTACTTTAGGTTACACTTCGGTAAACCTGCAGCTTGTCAAATATTCACGTTAAGCCTAGTATTTTCAGATCAGCTGCAGAACTACTTCAGCCGATATGGCCAAGTACGCAGTGTAAATATGTTTTTTGTAAGTTTTGCTTGATGACAGTTGTTTAGGTTCTGCCTATCTAGTTTTTTATTTTACTTGAAAGCTCAGTGTCTTTTCCAGGATGCTGAAACGGGTTTGCATCGTGGCTTTGCTTCGGTTACTTTTGAACACCCTGAAAGCGCTACTCGAGCAATGCAACAACGACCGCATGTCATCGATGGTGACAGAGTAAGTTTTTTGGTACAGACGCTTCGAGTTCTCTCGCATTTTTGCGGTTTATTTTTGAAATTCCTATTTGTAGGTTGATTTGGAACCGTTCATTCCAATGTTGTCGAAGAAGAAAGATATTGTATTGTAGGACGTAAAGATGTGTATAGAACTATAGAGTCTCCTTTTTTGGACTCGGGTCATAGGTATCTGCGTATCATCTCATCCCTGTCATCTCGTTCTCATGAAGCTTTTGAGCTTTTTCTAACTGTCAGCGGCTTGAGCACACGCAGATAGTCTACTTGACTTATTTGTATGTATCATGGTCAGTAAGCGAATATATCTGCAATTGAATCGATTATTTGGTGTTTACATCTACGTCGATGTGTAATTTGTCTTGGAATTCGTTTTTCTCTACAGTGCGTTGCTGATAAAGCAGCCCACGTGTTCGCGCTTTGAAGAACTCGTAATGAAAGAACTGCAGACGGAGAGTGATTGTTGAGTAAAAGCAAATTCCTCGATATGTTGTAAGTATTATATTTCACATATGTACATCGAATCATCTAGAACCCGTGTGTATTCCATAGAGGAAGCGTGTATGTTTCATAGGCGAATTCTTCTAAATGTGATCGGTCGTTGTATACTCCGATGTAGTCAAGTTCTAACTGGAAATCGCCGTCGATTCTGTCCATGAGGACAATTCCTAGCGAGCTAAAATTTCTAAAGTTAGCGGCAAATACATGCGCAACTATAGTTAGCCCAGGCTTACCTTACGTTTTCTAAGTTCACTTTATATTGCTTGTCCTGGATTCTTCCAGCAACAGTATGGAAAAATTTTGAAAAGGGGATTTTCTCATACTGCCAGTACGGTCCGCCATGTGTGTGCAGCGGATATGAGAACGAATCTCCCCATGTCATGTCGATCGCCATTGGCGCATGAAGCATCACTTTGTAACTGCGTCCATCACCTCTGCACTGAAAAGCATATGATACTCGTCAAATAGTTCAGATATTTCATAGTTGTTTACTTTGTTATCTATGACAACAATGAACTTTTTTGCTAGCTGATAAATGAGAGTACAGAAAGTCAATTGCAGAAAAAGTGTACTCTAAGTACATAAAAGTACAAGGGTATGGTGAGAGATCGACGCAGAAGTTATAGGGAGGCAGTTGATTTGTGCAAGAATATTCATCAATGCTACACTCTCTTCATTCATAACTCAAGTGCTGCACTTTTTGATCGTCATACGACGCTGTAATAGGGATTTCCCTAAGTTGTCTCGGGGTTTTCTTCAAAACCTTCTAATGTCATGTTGGATAATACTTGCGCGCTTACTACTTTGTGGACCTCGCGCGGTTGACAATTCAGTTTTGTTGGAGACAGTGTAAACAAGGCCAGCCACCGGTCAATGTGCAGGAAATGGTCTCTCTCTAGCGCTAACTCCAGGAAGTGAAGAAATCCAGACTTCGTTCAAACCTTATACATGAAGGTTATATCCTTCACCCTAATCACAAAAAAGACAATCATTTTGTATGTAGGTCAACTTCAGATATCACGGGGAGTAAGAAAGAAATCTACCCTATTTTCAGGTGTATAAGCCGCACCCTTTTTGCTCTAAACACGAGCAGACCCAGGCGTGCCGCCGCGCATATGTCTCGCGAAGCGGTCGCTTTATCGCATACTGCTCTCACTTAGCGCGCTCCATAATGACAGTCAGTCTTTTGGCGTGTTCGCCTTTAGAGCAAAAAGGGTGCGGCTTATACACCTGAAAATAGGGTAGTTATAAGAACTCTGTTCGAAAAGAATTCCCAAGAGGTTTTTTGACATGCTTATCAGGAGTGTCTCATCTGCTTGTAAAGCAATGTGCTGTAGCTTGGAATGAGTAGCTAAGCGTACATTTAGCTTAATTTCATTGAAATGAGCCGTAACGAGTTAGTAACCTGAATGTGGCCAGAACGCCGGGCATTACCGCTTCTTTCACCCACATGGCTTTTTCTGACAAAATAGGGAAGAAAGGAGAAAACATTGGTGAGCGAAACTACAGCTTATCCCAATAGGTGCGCCAGCGTTTCGGGTCCAGCGCGACCGCCTCGCTTGGGCTTGCACAGCGTTCCCAAACGTGCTCTCTGACCATCCATTTTCCCACGCCTAACGGAAATCGAAGCTCGACTCTGCTTTTCCCTGCTTGAGCCCCTCAACACGGTCAAGCAGGGAAAATGATCGCATTTGCGAACACGGTGCAGGGTCCAAGCGGGCGGCTGCGCGGGACCCGGGCGAGCTGTTGGTGCACCCAACACTGGCACCGTCCACCCAAATTGGGGTTGGTGAGATTATGATACCTAGCAGATGCGGGGTCCCCAACTGTATGATTGCCCAGCTCGCGCTGCCTGAAGTTGCTTCCGAACCGAGAAAATTGCTTCGGAAATTGCTTCAGGTCGCTTTCGCGACGCTGGCTCCTCCCCTTTCGGAGTGGGCGTGACGTTCGTCCCGCCCATCCGTGCGCGTTCAACCAATCACCATACCGAAGATATCTCTCTGCGGGTTCTGAAAACGGGGGTTTTTGAGGTTTTCGCGGATTTTCAACTTGATATTCAGAATTAGGGGTATGAGAAGGCCCTGGAACGGCAAAAACATGGAGGTCGAAATTTTGGGTGCACGGTGCCTTTAAGTTATCTGAGCTGGTATCCAACTACGAAACTTACGTGTGTGACGAAAGCAAAGTGAATAGCAATTTGATGACTAAGTCTCATTGTTAGAAAAGCAGCGGAACTTTTCAAAATCAATAGAATGAGCGAACTTTCACGCTATAAAGGTATTCATGAACCCTCCGTTAAAAAATGCTTACGTCAAGACATAGATAGTGGAAGATCAAGATCGGGGAATAAGGGAAGGATAGTTTTCAACATTTTTAGCATTCTAAAAGTTAGAGTGAAAGTGACATTGCGTTGCAAATACAATAACTGTTGATATTTTGATAAGCACCTAGTCAAGTAAAGCAGAAGGACTCACCTTAATGAGGAGATGGCTAAAATTTCTCCACTTGCCCAGATACTTCTTCCGATTGAGAAACTTAGTATCTTCCAGTTTGATTGTAGCCCATCCAGCACGCTGTATTCGCCCATCTTTTATGACCTCGGTGCAAATATGACCTCTGAAATGATGATGGTGTAAACGTCGAAGATGCTCAAGTGGCTGATCCAAACTTACTTGAAAAGAGCCGTATTTGTATCGGTCGGCACAAACTGAACCTTTGAAAATCCCTCATTCCAGTCAGAATCGCAGCCAGTTCGCCAGCGCGCCAAGGCCTAGAACGAAATGATTCAAAAGGATGATGGTTCAGATTTTGCCTATTGATGCAGCATGGGACTTGGTTTTTCGAAAAAAGGAAAGAGCAGACGAAAAAATGAGTGGACCTCAGGCGTGTCGAATTTCCACTCTATCCTAGCTTCGTCTTGTCGAACCGACCCCAGATCTTCCAGGCACTCGGTCTTCTCGATTGTAAACTCAGTGGAAAGAAGTTCATCTTTCAGAAGCTGCAATTCCAAATCAAAAATATGCTCGAGAACGGGTAATTCATATACAAAACATGTTAAAGGGAACGAGGTTGCCGGCAACGGTTGTCGGTGTTGTCAGGGTCAGAGACAGTTTAGAGAGCGCGCGAAACGCGGAGACTATCATGTGGTCCTAAAACGACCGGCAACCTCGGCAACCCCGACAATGCCGATAACACCGATAAGCCAGACAACACCGACAACCGTTGCCGGCAACCTATGGCCGTTCCCAAAGGCTCAATAAAGGCCAGGAGAAGATTCTAGCGGCACGAGCAAACTGCATATGCCGGTGAAAAACAAAAAAAACGAAGAAACACTGAAAACAAGTAGAAATTCAAAAAATCTATAGAAATAACGCACCTTGGTTTGCTCTCTCACTACGTTTGGCACTTCTTCGATCACATCCTTCAGAGGAAGCTCCGGATCATAGCCCTCGATTCCCCTTTTGTTAGGGAAGTTTATGTTGATTGGAACATCGCTACGGCCAAAAAATGACTGCATCTTTTTTTCGCCAACTTTAGACTTCACATCAGGAACCTGAAACTCTTGCTCAGGCTTTGGTCAAAGTTAATCATCAAAACGTGGTGACTTTGGTGGTGGCACAAACTCGAAGTATTCATAAGTTATCGCAAAAATTATATCAATCTTTGAGTGAGAATGTGTGACTTTAATACGCTCTGTGCTCAAGAGTGTTTTCAACTAAACACTAAACACCAGAATCTTCGTGCTAATTAAAAATCAAGTTGATTTCTCAAGGACTAAACTTACTTTCATGTCTGTTTTGGTGCCCATTATGGAATCAGAAGCTGAAGATTTCTCATCTTTCTTAGCTTCTTGCGACACTCGTGCTGTGACGGAAAATAGCCGATTTATACCATTTTGTCCCAATCTTCCAAGCCTTTGATGAGCTCTGCTGAGCAGCATCTAAATCTAAAGTCTTCACTTCAACCCTTTATATGAGAAAAGGCAAAACATTGTCATGCTAAGCCTGACGAAAAAGAAAGCCTGTGGATATTCGAGATACGGATATTCACAGTTTTAAGGAGCGCTGGATATAATTGTGCATAGTTACGTCTCCCCGACGTGATGATGCACAAAGCCTAAGAGGTAGGCGCCAGACTCAGGGCTTCTCAGGGCTTTGGGTCGTGCGGACGGGCAGCGAAGTAGTCGTTCCGTGCGTGCGGGCAGCCTAATCGAAGAGGTCACTCAAGCATCCGTGTGGGCGCGCCGCATTAGTTTTGCTAATATCGGCTCCTCAACTTCGGTGAGGCGGAACTGCGCTAACGACTCTTGCGTTGCGGTTACCCTGTGCTGAAACATACCTGATCCATTGATCTTTGCTGATCATCACGGATCCGCCTCGCCAAAGTTGGGGAGAGGACAATACGCGAGCGGGCATCGTCAGCTTTTCTGCGGAAATGCGTATTGTGACACCGTATTCACGCATTTTTAAGGGTTGATTTCAAAAAAAAGTGCGGTAGAAAAATCGTAAGTTTCTATTTCTTTCTATATTGATGGTTTTTTGCTGAAAAAAATTGCCTTTTCAGTATGTTTGTCGAGTGCAACCTTGATTTACCCCTAGATGGAAGTTCTATCTAACGTATTCACGCATGTTCCGCTTATTGTTCACATCGTCCACACTTCGTAAGTGTTCAATATCATTTGAGTGCCTGTATCGAAGTGTCACATGTTTCATTTTACATACTCCTTATTCATTTATATCATCCTTTCTTGGGTTTGTTTTGCGAATTTGGAGTGTCTTATGCATTTTCTTCATGATTAAAGATCTTTTACGTGCTAATTTTATTGACATGTTATTCTTTTGTTGTAAGGCCATTGAATTGACATGTTATTCTTTTGTTGTAAGGCCATTGACCTTAAAGGCATCGTCCAGGTTAACTTGGGGGTATTGGGATCTTGGGACAGTGTGAGAGCACGGCTCCTGACTAACGCAACAGTTCAAGTGCGATCGAAAAAGGTGGAATCTAAAGCGAGAAAATCGCTACGGACGAGTTTGCAAAAAAGGGGGCGGTACTCCAATCCCACCCCCTTGACAAGTTCTGACGTGGCAGTGCTTAAAGGCAGCGTCCGGGCAAGATCCATCCACCCAGGTTAGCATATACCCTAATTTCCGGGGTATAAGGCGCAGTAGCTTTCGCCGCGCGCGGATTGTTGTATGATGACGTCCGCGATGCGCGGCACCGCACAGGCAGCCAACAGCAACCTTCTTCACCCAGCAGTAGCTTTTTGCTCCCGTTCCTTGCTGTTTTCCTCTCAATAGTGACTTGTTCCACACAAATCTCCACCTTCTTTCTGATTCTTCAAGATTGACAAAAATAGGACAGAAACCTTTAAAATATCAGTAGTATCATTGTAAAGGACAGCACGGTTTCAGTACCAGTAGCATTGTTACTGCAAATGAAGGAAAGCACAAATATAGCCCCGGTAACTTCATTGCAAACAAAAGAAAGAATCATCTAAACACCATAAACACTATTAAGAGCTTCCTCCCACCTGTAGAAACGATATCAGAGTATATATCTGAGAAGAGGAAAAAATACCTGGAGGCATGATTTATGGGCAATGAAGAATAACCACAGCACGCTGAGTTTTCAGCTTTTCAGATTTCGAGAGCAATCATTTAGCAAACGTTTTCGCGCTATTGTTCGCTGCGGCGGGTGCGCCTTATACAAGGTGCGCCTTATACCCCGGAAATTAGGGTAGTTGTAAAGAAGGGCCCATAAGTATCCGATCTGCGTTGGTCCGAATCTTTGAAGTGGCCTCTAAAAGGAGATACGGACCTGTGATACGTATCACAAACTGTCCCTTCGTATCACAAACCACCGCTGAGGACGAGTGCTCACGCAGGTGTGCGGTTGCATTGCAGTTGCACTGCATACTGCAATGCAACGGCATCCGTGCAGTTGCAGCTCCTCCTGCTGGCATGACGATGGGGACGAGCAATTCGAAACTCGTCCGCTCCTTGAAGAGAGGGTCCCCAAGAGCAGGGTTTTTTGGGAGTTTTGAACAATTTGGACTTTACAACTGTATTCAGGGCCACGGAAAGGCCCCAGAATGGCAGAAACATGAGAGGCGAAATTTTGCCCGGACGCTGCCTTTAAGATCTAGTGTATTGGCCACATCAAAGCTTGTCAAGGGGGCGGGATTGAAGTACCGCTCCCTTTTTTGCAAACTCGTCCGAAGCGATTTTCTCGCTTCAGATTCCACCTTTTTCGATCGCACTTGAACTGTTGCGTTAGTCAGGAGCCGTGCTCCTACACTGTGTCAAGATCCCTATACCCCCAAGTTAATCTGGAATGCCTTTAAAGGCAGTGTCCGGGCAAAAACTCGATTTTAAGATTTTGTGCTTACTTGGGCCTATTCGCTACGCTGAATCCAAAAATACACATTGTAGAGCGCGAAAATGGCGAAAAACGGCTCTAACACAGGAGGGAAATGAGCAGGTGGGCGGGGCCCTCCCCACTGCGAATTCACGCTCCCGGCTTCCGGAGCGACCTTTTCGCTTCCAGTTTCAAGTCAATCATTCGCACTTGACCGGTAGCGATGTTAGGACGGCTAGCGGAATCGAGAAAATCGCTCCGGGAGCCGGGAGCGTGAAATCGCACTGGGGAAAGCCCCGCCCACTTGCTGATTTCCCTCCTGTGTTAGGGCCCTTTTTCGCCGTTTTCGCGCCTTCCAATGTGGATTTTCGGATTCAGCATGGCGAATAGGCCCGTATAAGCACAAAATCTCAAAATCGAGTTTTTGCCCGGACACTGCCTTTAAGGTCTTCGCACCTCATGTCTGAGATGCGACATTCTGTTCTGGCCTACGCGTGATGACCTGACCTCTCTTCCAGACTATCCCTGCTATTGATGGGTGCTGGGCGTTTAGTTATTGATTATTGGGCGCTATTCCAGTATACCGACCCCAAAAATTAAAAATCTCAGATTTCGCTCAAACTCGGTATAGGGGGGGTTATTCGATACGCTGATGCCAAATATCATATCGATTCCGTGCGATAGCGCCATTTTCCGGGGGTTACGGTGGGCATACGGTAGGGGGTCAAAATCACGAAATTCTCTGAAACTCGGTAAGAGGGGGTTATCCGACATGCTGAACACGAATACAATATTCATTCGTTACGGTAGCTCCTCATTCCGGGGTTATGGTGGGTATACGGTAAGGGGACAAAATCACGATATCCGCTGAAACTTCGTGTAGGGGGGGGGTTATTTGACATGCTGATCACGATTATGATGTTTATTAGTTACGAAAGGGCCTCATTCCGACGTTACGTTGGGTATACATTACCAGTACCACCACTAGATCGAGATTCAGGGCCTGAATCTCAGTCACACGTCGGAAATTTCCTCCCCCCGCTTTGCTTAGGCAAAAGCCGCCGCAGGGTGTATCGCGCACGGCGGTGGGTGTGGAAAGCAGTGAATTGGACTCTCCTACAGTATACCCACCGTAACCCCGGAATGAGGTGCTACCGTAACGAATGGATATCATATTCGTGTTCAGCATGTCAAATAACCCCCCTGCACCAAGTTTCAGAGAATTTTGTGATTTTGACCCCCTACCGTACACCCACCGTAACCCCCGGAAAATGGCGCTATCGCACGGAATCGATATGGTATTCGGCATCAGCGGATCGAATAACCCCCCTATACCGAGTTTGAGCGAAATCCGAGATTTTTAATTTTTGGGGTCGGTATACTGGAATAGTACCGATTATTGTATAAAAGGCATTTCCCACTATTGATTCTTCTTTTTTAGCAAAGTATTACTTTCACTCGTATATTTTCGTATATGCCGTTCTTCCCAAGTTTCTGTTACGTCGAGATATGGTAGAAGTTCTTCCGAGTAACGTGTGTTGGAATTTACACGTGATATACGGCGAGAACATACGACTGAAGTTGTGATATATCAAAATACATACAGATGTGAGGATATGGATCCGGTGGACTGCGAGCAGACGCGACCTAGAATACCATCAGTCCCTTCTCCGTAAGTTTTTATTAGGGTGATCCAAAAGTAATGGAGCACCTTGATTTTTTTCAACATTCTTCAAAATTTCTTTCTGATTAGCTATGAGCGCCCAGCATTTTTAACGCCTTTGTATAAAGTGACCTTCGCAGGCTATCTTGACAGCACCTTGCAGCACCTCGCCGACATTTCTTCGAGTGGCGCTTTGAAGAAGCCAGACAGACTCTTTTGAACGCCATCCGAATACGGGCTGCTGCACCTGATAGTCCCTCGACATATAGCATATCATTCGAAAGAGCCTTCCAAGCTATTTCTAATGATTACTTGAACATCCAAAAATTGCCAATTATTTTATACAAAAAAGGCACTTTATTCGAAAAAGTGCGGTGTTTGGCGCAGATTTTCAGACTAAAACTCATGTTTTGCACCACAATCTTTTGAAAATGAGAAAAGTCGAAGTAATTTGCATATGTATGGATAGAGCGTAAAAAGCACTGTCAGAAAGCAACTGCTAAGTTTGTTATTTGATTACCTTGATGAAAGAATAAGTAATATGTCTCCTGGTACCTAATGCTATATCTTCTGTTCTGAAGCCTTGGGACCAGTCCACTCACCCATTGCTGCGCACATATCTTTGGTAGGCTCATTTGTTTTACTGCGGCGCTGCTGCTCAAAGTTCAAAATTACTTAAAGTGATGAGCTTTGATTTTGAGCGCTCAGAATTAACGCCATGTGACAGTGCCCAACTACAGACCTCGATCAGAAGGTTTTGTTATGTACTAACATCTGCCAAAACTTGGACTTCCAATTAGCTTTTCTACTTGAGGAAACTGCATTTGTTCTCTAGCTGCCCCATTACTTTTGGATCACCCTAATAATTTATACATTAGTTTTGGCTATATAGAAAGGAAATAAAAACGGGAGAAAAAGAAAAGAATTTATTATTTTATTTCCTGTTTCTGTATTCTTTTCGAGAAAGAGAGGGGAAAAATAAAATAAAAAAATTAGATTATTTTTTTCCTATCTTACTGAAAGGAGAAGGGAAGGAAAATAGAAATTATTTTATCTTATCGAAGGGAAAAAAATTAAATCATCTTATTTTATCTTCTCTTACTATATGCTTTTCGGAGGAGAAAAGGAAATTGTTTTTAATTTATCGAAGGTAAAAAAAATTAAGATTGTCTTATTTTATCGAAAGAGAAAAACAAGAATTATTTCATTCTATCGAAGGTGAAGAAAAAATCATCTGTTTTATTTTCTTTTATAGTGTACTTTTCGAAAATAAAATGAAAAAGATTTGTCAGGTCTAAGGGTTAGCTAGTCCCTTAGCCTGATGTGTAGCAGGTTTACATAAGCTAACTATAATGTTTATTATAAATAGTTATATACAAAAGGGGGAAAGGGGAAGGGGAAGACGACCAGCTACTGCCGGCGGTCGGAGGTCACTGCCAGAGGTTGGCTGTCTTCGGCCAACCTCCTTCTCGAGCAGCTGTTGTAGCTAGCTGCGTCCCGACAGATTATTTTATCTCATTTTTATTCTATCTTAGTTTAGCGGAAGAGAGGGATAGAAATCATTTTATTTTATCTTCTTTGATCCTATTTTATTGTGTGCTTTTTCAGCCTCAATGCTTCGGAGAGGATGGAGGACTCTAGTCCTCCTTCCTCTGGTAGAGCGTCCGTGGACTCGGCGTTATACAATGCCACCGTCAGGGCTGAGTTGCATGCAACTTAGTCCCTGGAAAGAATCTAGCAGCTCGAAGGGGAGTTGAGCGTGGCCAGAAGGCAGGTGGATGCTCTGCAATGGAGCAGAGGCCTGCACGCCAACCAACTGAAGGAGACGCAGGCCCTATGCAAGCAACACGAAAGGGTATGTTTATTTTGGAAAAAAATAATTTTGATTCAAATTAGGAGAAAAATTTTGTTTAATTCATCTTTATATAAAAATTTTTTTAAATTACGTTTTAGAACCTCACCCGCATTGTGAGAGTTCTACGGGCAGTGCATGAGGTGCTGCCCAAGGCCCTCGAAGCGCACAGGGCCAAGCTTCGCGCCCTGCACCCGGAGGAGGAGGAAGAGCTGCTCCATCACTTCCTCCAGAAGGGGAACGTGGTGGAGACCTTTATAGAGATTATCACGCATGGCGAAGGTATGGTCCGCGTGACCACTGACCGGGACGAATTCTTTTTCGGTGGGTTTTTTTTAGTTTTATTATTATTTTTTTCAAGTGAGAAACACTCAAAAAATTTTTTTTAATTTGGCAAGCAATAAAAAAATTTTTTTTCAGCCCCTATGAGGTCGGGCCAGAAAAAGAGGTTCAACCTCCATTGCCCGGACAAGCTATGGCGCGCGGACCATCCCTGGGTGCGGCTGCACATTGGCGCCCTACGGTGAAGTATGGACGAGCTGCTCCACTGCCGGAGAACTTCGCCAAATTCTTTCTGAGGAATTTGGCGGGAATTTCAGAGGTGCAGTTGGAAAATTTGCACTGCGACTATCTTAAAGAGTCGTGCAAAGCTCGCGGAAAGAAGTATAAATGTATCGAGCGCATTTATTAATGTATGTAATTTATTTTATTATTGATGCTGTGTTTTTTCGAATAAACTACTTATTGTAAGTGTGTAATTTATTGTACCGAATTTGATGTTGTAATCATATTGTAGGCCACAGTTGGTGGGGTAACAGCCGTTAGGAAATATTAGGGGGTCGTAAATAATCCTTGTTGATGCGCGCCGCCATATTAATTGCTTTGTTTAATGTTGATAGCAGTTGCGTTCGTAAATTTCCTGGGGGATAATTGCGTGTGGACAGTTGCGCGGTTTAAATTCTTCCGGAGGTCAGCATTCCAAGCTAGATGTAATAGCAATTTGATTGATTGAAGCGCCTAGCATAAATAAAAATATTCATGTAGGGCTTAGGTATACCTTAGGTTTGATTTTGAGCTAGCTAAGCAAACAAGTCCATTGTCTGAAACGTAATTACCATTTTTCATTATTACTTAGACCTAAAAAAAATTGGAAGAAGAAAGAAAAATAAAAACTTCTCGAAAATCTCAGATCTCGGATCTCGGTTTTCGGATCTCGGATCTCGGTTCTCGGGAAAAAATAGCAGGGTGACATTTATAATGACGAAGTAAGAAAATAAAAATTGCGGTTTCAAAAATTTTGCGATTGCAAAAGGAAAGGGAAAAAATCACGGATGTTACTTCAAAAATTTCCGGTTTCAGAAAGAAAAGGGCGTGAAAGAAAATCGAAATCTCGATTCTCGGTTCTCGGTTCTCGGATCTTGGTTCTCGGGTCTCAGTTCTCGAATTAATTTATTTTTTGTTATAAATCTAGATTTAGGAAATTTTTAGATCGACGTTTGGGATTGTTCGCAGGACTTTTTTTTCAAATATTAGGTGATCATTTGTACATATTAGGTTGTCCCGAAAGTTCTGTCGGTTTTTTTCATCGCTCACTAAAATCCAAAGAACACGATTCATGGACGATCTAGGTAACATTTAATTCAGATTTCTATTTTCTTTCTTACAGCTATATTTGCTTTCTGATCTACCCTGTCTTTGCAATATTATCGCCATTGCTTTTTAAGCAGTTCACCACTGACGCCAATCTATCCTGAATTTTAAAAATTTTTATACTGCTGTTTCCGAAAAGCGTTAGTAACTGTTACGTAGAGCAAATCTTTGGCTACATTGTACAATTTTAGATTACATGGACGACGTTTTCCAAGTCCTTTATAATTATTTATTTGATAAAAACCGCGGCTTTTTAATTACGTTTAGTCACTCAAAAGTATCAAAAATTCAAATTGCAGCTTTTTCAAAGCAAATCAAACTTGGTTATGTTGCAAAAATAACGTTTAATAAGAAACATGTTTTAGTTCGCAGAAATTTCGAAAGCTTCGGTGTATTTGCTGCAGTTGCGTGTTTCATGACTTTGCCAAAAATTGAGACCTCAAAAGAATTAGATTTTTGAAGCTAAAAACAGCAGGTTAGGAGAATCCAAAAATATCGCCTTGTAGTGCGAGAACTGCTCTATTTGATTTATACTTGATCCTCTCCGAAACTTTGAATGAAATTTTCAAAAATTAGCTAAACTTTGAGCACATGAAATTGACGGGTGGAGAATTTTGGCAGTTATCAAAAAAGGCATAAAAGATTTTGGTTCGAAAATGTGTCCACAAGAAAGAGAAGGAAAAGCTGCATCGAATGCATCTTGAAACACATTCAGGCCTTTACTGTGCGTGGTTTTATAGTGGTCTGAAAAAACCGACAAAACTTTCGGGACAACCTAATATTTTTTTTCTGAAAGGATTAGATATTCTTTTTAATAGAACAGTGTCGATGTGTGTAGAAAAAATACTCACTAATTCGTTCGTTTGTGTCCGTCGACGGTTCGTTGGAGACGAAGAGGGAAGGGGGGGAATAAATTTGCCTAAGAGAAAATTAATTCTCTTTTCAAAAATAATTTTTTTCTAGAATTCTAGAAATTAGAGAGGTAAAAGGAAGAAAAAAATTTTCAAGCTAAAAAAAAACAGGGGGGGGGGGGATAAATTCAAATCTTCCCGGGTCCTCCATGTCAGGTTAAAGGCTGGCCTTGCCTTTACCTGATGTGTAGCGGTAGGTACATAAGCCTAATTTACTAATATTTATTATTTAGGATAAATACAGGGGAAGTGGGGAAAAGGGGAAGAGGCTGCGGTGGCAACCTCCTGGTCGCGGTGTCGGGGGTCACTGTCCTCCAGCGGGCTTTACAAATTGCACCAAGAGGAGGGTCAGCTGTGATGGACCCGACACGGTAGAGGGTCAAAATCACAGATTTGGCTGAAACTTGGCCCAGGGGGGTTATCTGACATGCTGATCACGAATATCACCTTTTCTTCGCAAGGAAACGCCTCCCTGCAGGGTTATGGTAGGTACGTGGGGGTCAAAATCACAGATTTGGCTGAAACTTGACCCAGGGGAGTTATCTGACATGCTGATCACGAATATCACCTCTTCTCCGCAGGAAAACGCCTCCCTGAAGGGTTACGGTAGGTATACGGTAGAGGGTCAAAATCACAGATTTGTCCGATACTTGGCCCAGAGGGGTTATTCGGCCCGATGATGCCAAATATCACATTGGTTTTGAACCGTGGCGTCATTTTCTCGGGTCACGGTAGCTACACGGTAACGGATGTAAAACATAGTTCTGCCTGAAACGGGTGTACGGCGATTCGGACGATTGTGAAGCTTTGCACACACGACCACCGCCGCGCGCTACACACCCTGCTGCGGCTTTTGCCTGAGCAAAGCATAGGGGAAAGATACATTTGCCGATTTATGAGTTTGACCCCTACCGTAAACCTACCGTAATTATGCAGGGAGACGTCTTCATGTGGAGAAAGTGTGAAATCTCTAATCAGCATATCGAATAACCCCTTTGTGCGAAGTTACGGCAGATTTTGAGATTTTGACCGCCTACCGTATACCCACCGTAGCCCGAGAAAGTGACGCTACGGTACAAAACCAATGTGATATTCAGCATCAGCGGCCCGAATAACCCCTCTGGGCCAAGTTTCAGATAAATCTATGACTGTGACCCTCTACCGTATACCTACCGTAACCCTGCAGGGAGGCATTTTCCTGCAGAGAGAAGGTGATATTCGTGATCAGCATGTCAGATAACCCCCTCGGGCCAAGTTTGAGCGAAATCCATGACAAAACAATTTTGGGGCCCGGATAGCCGAATAGCGCCGTAATCCGATGCGCTGATTCCGAAAATCCACTTTTCAGAGCGCGAAAGTGCCAAAAACCAGCATTTTCCAAGTTCCCTCAATTTGAATGACGAGTGGGACACTTTCCGCCATGGCTAGAGACGCACGGTCGTTGTGGGACTCTCATGTTTATAGCATTGCGGCGTGCCGCCTCTGATGGCGTAAGGGATTTCGCGAGCTCGTCCGAGCGCGTATAAGAATGGCTTGCACGCACGAGTTTAAAGACAGCGTCCAGGCATATCTGAACCTATGGGATTTTTACGTGGAAAGACTTTTGGGGCCCTAACTAGCACTGCTCAAGCGTAAGCGCAGGTAGTGCTCTAACGGCTAAGATAATCCCCTCGAAACTGGACCTCGCGATTGTATTCGCATGGATTCATGGCAGTTTTGCGGAGGAACACACACTTTGCGCCATGAATCCATGCGAAATACGATCGCGGGACCCCGTTTCGAGCGGAATATCTCAGCCGTTAAAGCACTACATGAGCTGCCTGCCGGTTGGGCAGTGGCTTAGTTAGGGCGCCAAAAACTGTTCACGTGAGGTCCCCATTTGTCCAGACTTGCCTGCCGATCAAGTCATTTCCTAATGGACACTCTCATATTGCTGATAGCCGTTGATAAGGGTCAAATGGAATCAGTACATTTATACTCCTCCTATGTTTGCTCGTATGAGGCTACTTTCTATTATAAATTTGATGGTGAAAAATGAAACATGAAAAAACTTTTCATGGAAATAGAATATAACTCTAGATCAACTTCAAACATGCTAATTCTCTCGTTTTCAACATTATAAAACCTGGCGATAGTGCAGTTATTGTGGATGGTTTTTGCATTCAACGAGCACTCATGAAGCAGCCGACTGCAGCGCTGATCAGCCGAAGCAGCGCTGCCTTCTCTGCTCGTTGGTTTTGTCCATACCTAAGCAGCGAGGTATGTACCAAGCCTTAGTCTGGCGCTTACCTAAAAAGGGGGAGACGACATAGTGTCTTCTGAGAAGAGTTCTTTCCTTTTGATGCGAAGACTTCCGCATTCAAGTCTTCAATCTCAAATGCGAAGACTACGCATTTATATATTCAATCTTTTGATGCGGAGGCTTCCGCATTTGAATCTTCAATAATTTTAATGCCAAGGCCTCCGCATTTATATTTTCAAGAAAGAGTTCATTGTCCGACTAGAAATCTAGTGACTGGGCTTACGTAGCAGAAATCTACAGTCTTTCTCAATCGGGATCAGACCGAGCCGCTTGCGTATATTTGCACGCTCGCAGGGCTAGGGAATTGCGTTGCACTTGCGCGCAGTCGGAGAGATAAAGAAACTGAAGGGAGAGCAGACAAGCAGACTGTAGGCGTGACGCAAAGCCTTAACGGATTCCCGCCATGCCATTGGCCTGATTGGGATAGGGACAGACTGGGGTGTGGTGCAAGAGGAACGATAGAAATTGCCGCTGGTGCCAATGCACTATTTGCCTTCACAGTTCGCAAATTGCGAACTTATAAAAAATAGTAGATATGAAATTAATGCTTTACTCAACATGCTCAATAAGTCTTGCTCAAATCCCTGTGGTTTGTGCAATTCGGTGATGTTCTTGCAAGGAAAACGCTGTGTCTCCCTTCTTTAGTGGATCGTCTGTTCTATAT